TCTCTTGGCTCAGGCAGTTATCTTTGACACATGCCAGCAGCCTTTTGGAACACCTACAGCTTTCTAGGCTCGCTGGCTGGCACACTGTGGGGTTCTCCCCTTCCTCCCCTATTTGTGGCCCTATTTTGGGTATCACCTCCACGGGGCTCTAATATTTGGCGGTTTAACTCCAGGTTTAACCTGAGAAACAAAGATGCAGTAAGCAGCTTGGGCTCTGCAGATTCCTGCTTGCTGAAGACAAAACACTTCTTTGTCCAGAAGGAGCAGGGAAACATTGGCTCTAATCCACCATTTGTGCCAGGATGGGCCACACCAGCAGGGCCATATTTCCACTTCAAACCCTTATCTCTCCCATTGGCAGCATTTATGAACAGAAGGGACATGACTCATCCAGGAATCGAGACAGACTACGGAGAGAAGCAGGGGCCTGCTGCCCTGCTGCTCACACTAAGCACACCCCCTTCCATCCACCCAAAAACCCCACCGCCCCACCATCTGATCTGCAAGTCATTTTCCTGGTCAGAGAAAAATGCTTTCTTGCACCAACCCAGTGTAAACCTGAATCCGCAGCTCCTCCCATGCCTGCAGCCTGCACTGTCCCTGCTTTACAACAAGGGAAACTGAGGCACAGAAAGGGCTGTGACTCAAAAATACCCACCCCCATTACAGACCACAACATTTATCCACACACTCTGGCTATGAAAGCCACTCTGAGGCAAACAGCAGAGCAATTTGTATTCTCCTCCTTCCCAAATGTGTCAGTGACAGATGCCAACAGCTCCCCGGGGCTCCTTTCATCTTCCCGAGACATTTAATGTTCTCATAGACTGTTACCGGTCCCATCAATTACTTGACTTTGGCACAATGACGCAATATATGACACGGCACAACCCATTGGCTTTTAAATGCCACAGATGTAAAAGGAACAAACTATTTGGTCTCCTCCAGTTATTTGTCACAGCCACAATGTTCCTTCAGACGTAGTTTAATTCTGGACTGTGCGATTGCACCACGCAAGTCTTCCTCCTCCCAGGAGCCATACTTCATTGGTTGGGCTCTGAACCACAGGTGCTGCTCATATCGATGCCGGCTTCATCCCAAAAGATGAGGATCAGTGCAATTCAGTGCAGCCAGAGCCATGAGCCAGATGGCACTGCCACCCTGCTCCGCTCCCAGACAAACACTCAGCTCCTCACAGCCCAACCCACTCCAATAAGGCAAGGCAGGAGGAAGGTCAAACCATCTGCTTGCTCTGAGCTCGATGCCATATTTAAGTGCAAAGCATTTAAACAATGGAAAGCTGATCTTAGGCTTCCCTATTATGTAATTGCTTTAGTCTTGCTTCTTCCCAGACAGTCACTGTGAGTGAGCAGCTTTGGCTGGAGAGCCAAAACTGAAATAGGAAAGCACCAAACGCCCACAAGCATCAGCAGGGCTGCTGTCCTTCCTGCGCTGCTACTTTAAGGCACCATGCTACAAGACACAGCCAGAACAGCCTGGAACAGGCAAAATGCTTGGTTTTTATTATTTAGGTTTCTGAGGACCATATTGCTAAAATATTTTGAGTTCTCCCTACTGCTTCCATCCCCTCCCCGTGTAAAGCAGCTGCTGCCTCTCCTCACAGCTGTTATGCCATAACACCTCGATTGCTGCCAAGTGTTTGGGGGAGACCTGAGACACACGGGCCCACTGACTGATGTTTATCAACCCCTTCTGCCAAGCAAGCTTTCTTTCAAAAGCCCAGCTTCCCCACACAGCCAAATCCCATCTCAAGCCCCTCGGCTGCCAGAGAACAACTGGACACTGCCTCCCAACCTCCCTCCCAACAACCTGGGTTTTCTTCCCATAGGAATAACCCTGAAAACCTGATTTAGGCCTGCAAGCCTACCCTACTCTCATGGACAACCACCACCACACACAGAAAGCAGCCACGCACAGAGCAGCAAACCCTTCCCCCACCCCCCCAGCACACCTGGGAGCCCCGAGTCCAAACTGACCCCCCCAAATCGCAGCAGGCCGTTTTACTTCCCCCGTTTCCACATCAGAAGGCCAGATTCTGATTCATCTGCAACACGTACAGGCACAAAGCCGCGGAAGCGCTACATTTAACGCGTAGCATAAAGCGCAAACACAACATAATTCCACCCACCCACGCCGCGCAGCACACTGAGCGCTCGCTTCCTGCCCGGCTCTTTTATAGCTTCCGGGGGTGGGCGTGGCCATGTGCCCTCACTTTTGCCCTTTTCAAACGTGGCGGCACAAGGACAAGCCATCTCTGCGCATGCGCATGTCGGGCAGAGGGGAGGGCGGGAAAACGGAAAGAGAGAGGGGGGTGGGCGAGTGACGTCATCACGAGGCGGGGCGTGAGAATATGGCGGCTTCCGGTCCGCCTGGGCCCGGGGTGCGGCCTGGTCTGTGCTGGGCCTGTCCCGCCCGCAGCGCCGAGCGGTGGCTTTCCTCCTCAGTGCCGTTGTGCTGCCGGCTCATGCGCTGTGGGTCTTGGCCACGCTGGGGTCCTCATCCCTTAGGCCTGGCTCTGAGGTGCCCTCAGGGCTGTGGGCCACAGTGAGAGGCCAGGTTTTGGTCACTTGGATCACAGGGAGCTGCGGTGTCCACGACTTTTGGCTTCTTCAGTCGTAAAATAACACCGTATGCCCCAGTAAGATGAAAGCACCTGCGCAGGGGAGGCCTTGCCACAACAGAAGTCTGTTGCCTGCGTGCACTGTGCCCTTTGCCCGCTGTGGGGCACGTGGAAAGGCTGTGGCTTTCAGTACTGTGGTTCACCTGGCCCAGCTGGTGACGTCATACATGGTGACGTCATACATGGTGACATCATGCCACGTGCCTGGATGAGTGCTCGTCACATGAGCAGGGCAAGGGTTTCTGTGGCTGATGCTAAATACAGCACAGGCTGCGATTTTGTGCGTCGTGTTCCTGTTATAAGAAAAAGAAAAATAGTGTGACATGGCACCTTCAGGGAGCTGCTGAAGTCACAGGAATTGCAATTTGTGAGGCGAGGTTCTAGGGTGGGTTATGAATCTCTTTTATTCCTTTCTGCTGGCTGAATGTAAGCCAGCAGTGTGCCCAGGCAGCCAAGAAAGCCAAGGCGTCCTGGTTGTATCAGCAGAATTGCACCCAGCAGCAGCAGGAGGTGATCATCCCTCTGTACTCAGCCCTGGTGAGGCCACACGTGGAGTGCTGCGTTCATTTTGCGCCCCTCACTACGAGAAAGACACAGAGGACCTGAAGCATGTCCAGACACGGAGCTGCAAGGGTCTGTGAAGGGTGGTTGTGTGCTGATGAAACACGAGCTGACTGAGAGGCAGACAAGGTGCATGAGGTGAGCATGGCACATATCACCACAGTGGGAGAAACTGCCTTTCCCCCACACAAGCAGGCACAGACCACCATCCCTACTTTTCAACTCTAAGCACTGTTTACTTCTTTCTACAAGACTGGATGAGAGGCTGAAACAAATGGATTTACAAACTTCCTCAGTAATGCAGAAATGCAATTGAGCAAAAGATGGCCTGGGGTAGCCTGATCTGTGCTTTTGGTTTGTGATTGGAGCAGTGTATGGAAAGTAGTGCAGTAATAGGGCTGAACCCTATGCTTGAAGCAATAGCAGTTTTGTTGCTTCTGCAAAACAAGAGTTATTTTTCCCCTTTGTCCTAGAGTTACAAATCACTTTTTCTTAATCTCAGGAGCTTTCTTCATGTGGTTGACCAGTGGATTGCAAACTCTAAATCCCTCTTCCATCTAGTAAACAGCAGCATCTGGAATAGACTCTTCTTATTGCAGTTAACTTGTAGGGCAACACTTAAAGGTAGATGGAAAATTATTTCCCTTGTATCTGTTCTCTTGACTATTCCAGGAATGTGTGTATTCCTATCATCCCAAGTTTTCCATTTTTCCTTGCTCTTTCCTCTTTGCAACTCAACAATATGATCTGAAGCTCACGCAAGGTGTGTGCAAGGTGCTTAGTGGCTTGGCTGCTGGGTGGAGCTGGTCGGTGATGCTGCTCCCATGTAAGCTTGGGGCTGGATTAGGAGTGTGAGTGGTGCTCAGACAGGAGTTCAGGGCTTAGTGGAGACAGCAGCCTTTAGCACCACATGTGCAGCACAGCTGCCATGCTGACATGAGAGTACTTTGCAGCCCCTTTGTGTAGATCCAGACCCCCAAACTCACCTGGTTTTGTGAGCAAACTCAAAACCCTGAAATTGTGAAACCGAGTGAACAACTTGGATTTTGATTTCTTCAATAGTCCAAATACCTTCTGCAGGTTCTCCACTCCCTAGGTCAGGGTTTGGTAACCTCTGACAAATGAGACAAACCAGTTGTAAACAGCATCTTGCAGGACACTGGTGTACCAGGGAGAATTGCTGCTTCTTACCTTCCAATGGTCTGGAAAGAAGTGGAACCCTGTGGTAGTGCTCACGCTGTTCATCAGCTCAGGGAAGCAACTTTTCTCTCTGTTGTAATAGGGGCTGCTCCCCCAATATCAGTGAGACATGCAGCCCTCCACACAGCCTGGGGCTTTCACCCAGCTGCTAAGTGCACACCTTAGGAACGCATTGCAGTGTAGTCCATTTGTTTTCACAAGTAGCCTGAGGTATTAAAAGGATCACACATCACATGCTCCTGCCATTGCTTTATTTTCATTGGACATTTGGGTTTGAGATCTGTGTCAAACAGAGAGATAAAATGCAGTGAGAGAGGCTACAAACAGGAGCAGATTGGGAACAGCTACGTGTTGCCTTGCTTTAGAAGAGACCTCCAAACCTGTCCTGTGCAGCTCCTTTCTTGTGCTTTGAGCTCTTGGTTTTAGCAGAAGTTATGAACATAAAGGGAGATGAGCGACCTTTCTCTTTAATGTTCAGAGGCTGCAGTTTCCTGCAGGTATATGAAGCTGGAGTGGTAAAGGCTTTGCAGGACTTGGCACCTGAGATACTGAAATCTGCATCCAAGATCTACGGGATATCTTCAGGATCGATTGTGGCTGCATTTGCAGCATGTGAGTGTGATATAGGTAAGGGTGTTCTGTGCATGGAAAGATCAAGCTTCTAGGGGTGCCAGAGCTGCAAAAGATCTTTTTAAACTGTTGCCCTTAATCAGTGGTTAATTCCTCTGAATTTTATTTTGTTGACTTCTTTAAGAGTGGAAAATGTGGATAAATTAACTGTACAGGTGTAGTTATGGAATAAGTCTCCATGTCTTATCAATTTAAATTAATGTATCTCTACCTAATGTAAGAAACAGAATTGCCTTAGGAGACATTTTGGGGTTTTTATAGATTCCTAAAGCATGTAGGAAATAAAATACTGAATACAGTCATTGAGAATCTAGATCTGCCCTTGAGAGTTTCAGCCCTGCTGAAAATGGTGGCTCTTTACCAGCCTTTACCTGCTAAAACGTCCCTGTACCAGACAGAAATGCAGCTAAGAAAGTACATAACTAATAATTGCTTTGCCTTGCCTTTAGGTGAGATGCAGCAGTACCTCCATAGTGCTGGGAAACTCTTTTTCACCACGCTCCTTACAGCTCGGGGGAAAGTCCTGCTTGTTGTAAAGGAAGCCTTAAGTAAATTTCTGCCTGCCAATGCCCACCAGCTGGCATCTGGGAAGCAGCACATCATCCTCACCCGCCTGCGTGACTGGAATTGCGTGACAGTTTCAGAGTTTGCTTCAAAGGAGGACATCATCCAGGTGAGAGCCTTCCAGCTGTGGGTCCCACCTCAGCAGCCACAGATGAGTCAGCACTCACAAGGGCAAGAGATTTTTTGCAACTTTGCCCTCCAGGTCATTTGCTGTCTTTCCCACAGGCCGTGTTATGCAGCTGCTTCATCCCTCTGTGTTTTGGCTTTATCCCTCCTCTGTACCATGGGGTGGTGAGTATTCCTGTGGTCAGGAGAGCACACTGTGGCTCAGGGTAAGGGCTCATCTCAGTGGCACTAGGTGTTTTTGTACCCCAGGTTGCTTGTGCTGTGTGGCACAGTGTCTGCAGAGGGAGGAACTGAACCTAGGTGCCCCACAGCCACAATGGGGAGGGAGGAGTTGGTGGGTGTAGACCTTGACTGCATGGGGCGCTGCTCAGGGCTGCTGCCTGAAAGATTTCCCCAGCCCCAACCCTTCAGGCCCATTTGGGACTGAGCTGGGAGGAAATTCCATATGCATGCATATGACACAGCTCACTGTGAGAAGAAGGCTCAGGGTTCCTTGTTTTCTCTTCTAGCGTTATATCGATGGGGAATTCGGCATGTGGAAGACCAACCTCGTGTCCCAGACCACCATCACCGTGTCTGCTTTAGCTGGTGAATTTGACATCTGTCCCAGAGATTGCCCAGTTCCCTTCTTCGTTTTCCAAATAGTTGACTGGGTTTTACATGTGTCAGAACAAAACCTGTATCGTGTGCAGTGTCTTTTCCAGTGTCCTTCAGCAAAAGTGAGCTGCTTCTTCAGGTACCCAGAGCCACGAGGCCCCTATGGCTGGCCCACCTCTCCTGACTGCCATCTCCCTCCTGCAGGTTTGTGAACAGCTTTATCATGATGGCTACCAGGATGCAGTGTCCTTCTTACACAGATTGAGTAAGTGGTTGGGAACAAGGAGCAGGTAGGTCAGGTAATTCTCATTCCTGTTTTCTCTGTGGCCAGCACTGGAGCTCCCTGTTCATCCCTCTAAAGGAAGGGCTTGCTGGGAATGTCAGAGCTTTCCAGGGAACGTATGTCTCAATGACCTGGACAACAGTGTAGCCTTGGTGCCTTGTGTAATGTTTGATGTGTTATCCACAAAGCTGTGATATTTGGCAGCCCCTGACCCTAAAAAGCCAATTAGGATGAGCTATAAACTGCGGTCCTCGGTGCCTTTATCTTCCAGTTCACCCTGCACATGCCTTACATTGCTGGGAACCTGGTAGTTGATCCACAGACTGTGAGAACTGCCTTCTCTTCCCACAGATGCATTTGGTATCAAATTCCTTCCTGAGAACTTTACACTTTTGTTGCACAAAGAATCGTGTCAGAAAGGTGAAGGGACCCTGCACAGGAAGCCAGGAACAGGAGCACCTTGCTCCAGAGCAACAGACTCTCAGGACATCACCAAGGAGAATACAGCAAGCATTTGTTCAGCAGATGAACTGGAGGAAGAAGATATTTCCACCTCCTGCAACCCTCAGAAAGGTACAGAGCCAACACGTTTTTCATCCCATCAGTTCTCATTAACTGTGTGACCCTTGCCCAGTGCTCATAGGCTGTCGGGGTTTTTAAAGGCACCGGTAGGTGAAAATGTCAGGAAAGAGAAGGATTCCCCTCTTGAATGAGCTGAGCTTACTATTTATGGTGTTTGATGGCAGGAACACATTTCCCCTGCCTCTTCCTAGCAGATTTCTGATAAACACCACCTGAACTCCCAGCTACCCACATTATCATTTCCTCACAGATGAAGCCACATCAGAGAGGCCCTTTAGAAACACAGCTCTTATCAGGAAGTGACTTATGGTGCAAGGTAATGACAGGCTGTGCCCACACATTGTTTCGTTAAGGGTGAGGGAAGGAGCAGTGTGTCTCAATCTCTGAGGCTGGCTTTGCTGTGCGAGTCAAACCAAAGCTTCTACTTAGTAATTCCAGTATGCAACCACACATGAATGCTTAAGTGCAAGAGAAGCAAGTTGGAGCTGCAGATAAACCTCTGGCTGACTCAGTTTTAAGCAAAATAAGGTAGGCTTAAATCCCAACCTTCCAGCTTTCTTAAATCCTGTGCAAAATAATGCTGAAAACTGGGGAGCTGTCAGCATTTCAGATTCCAGTTTGGCTTTTTGTTACTAGCAGAATATGGTAAAGTATGTGCTGGACTGCAGTGTTGCTTTTGCTTTTATTGGTTCTTTTTCTGAGTTTTTCAACAATTCAAAACATGTCACTTAAGGAAAATTGCACAGCTTTTCCTGCGTGGCTGTGACTTAAAATGCTGCCACATACATTGAAGATGAAAAAAGACCCAAATGTGGTTCTTGTGTATCTAGGAGGACCACACCAAATCCTAAGCATTAAGGAAAAAGAGCAAAACTCTTACTATTTCAGATCTAAAACCAAAATGTTGGAATACCCAAAATGAAAGAAATCAAGACATTTCCATTGAAAACCACTGTGAAGCACTGACAGTTCTACCAACGGGAAGAGACCTACTGTGGAAATGCAGAATAATTCATATTTGCTTGTGTAAATGCCTCGTCAATCTGAACTGCATGTAGCCTTTGAAAACAGCAGAGGAGGACCCAGGTTTCTCTGGAGGTTTGGCAGGATGTGGGCAGTCAGGAATCACTTGGTCTCTTGTTTGGAGGGAAGGAATGAAAATGAGCTTTTTCCAAGGCAGGAGCTGGGCTCTAACATTTTTCACTAACCTAAGATGGACCAGATGAGCTTCCAGGCTCCCTTCCAACTCAGAAGATTCTATGATTCTGTGATTCTAAGAAGACTTGTGGAAGGAATCAGACTTATTTGTTAGGCCAAGAGAGCAACCGAGAGGTTAAGCAGAGCTCTCAGTCTTTAGAGGAGAAGCACCTTTTTTAATGTCTGGGAAGGAAAAGTGCTGATCTAGGTCAAGAAAAGGCTACTTCACAGTTTATCTGCACACTGATGGTACTAAACAAGCAAGAGTACAAACACACACACAACTCTCACACATTTTCTTATTAAGCCAGAACATTTCTGAAAGGACTGTTGCATTGTTAGGGCTTGCACAGGAGCGAGGCTCAGGTGATGCTGGTGGACTAATCACAAACATTACCTCTTTATCCATCTGCCCAGCAAGACGTTTTGCAAGTCCTTAGTATCTAGCCTATAAACAGAGTCAGTTCAAGATAAAACACCTGCATCAAAAAGCTGGAGACAAACAGGATAGAATGTGTTTGTTTTGTTTTGGCTTGGTTGCATGGGAGGGGAGAGTCTGGGGCCTGATCCACTGGGGGGATGTAGCTTCAGAGCAAGCACCTACTGCTTGGGCTGTGTCCAGCCCTCCATCTCAGCCTCTCATCTCATCTCATCTCATGGCTCTGCAGGGTTCAGTGCAGACTGGGCCAAGCAGCAAGGCATTGGCATGGGAACATTATTTTAAGGATTTCAAAGCCTGTTTATTTTAATTACACTGTAGATAACAACAATGAAGAAAGCAGCTCCGATCGGGTGCTTGAACCCAGTTTGTTACACAAGGATCAGCAGAGTCTATCAGATTGACCAACGTGGTTCTACTGCCTTTAGGGCCTTGCCAGCTACAGAAGAACATTTTTGACACAGCTGCTGCCTTTGGCCCCAGTTCATGTTTTAAAGAAAAAAAGAACAACTCAGAACACAGCCTGCAGACAGCCACTGAGATGCACTGAAGAGCACACTGACAGAACATCAGCAGCACAGGCAGAGCCACAACCCTCCTCATACTCCCAGAGGCCGCGTATGAATCCCATCACCCACCTTTAATGGAGCTATTTCAGGAGAAGTACAGGATCTACTGCAGCTGGTTTGGGTGCAGCTGAGTTTTCCAGGTTGTAAAAAGCTCCATGAGGTGATTCAAAGAAATGCCAGACTTTACCCATTGTCTCCTTTGTGCCATTAGCCCTAAGCTTGTGCAGAGGAGACAGCATCAGGTGCTTGCTTGAAAAGATGAGGGCTGAATAAAGTGTAAGGCAGCTGATACATGTGCTGAGTCATGAAATAATTACATCTTAGCATGTTTCTGCAGGCTTGGAGCAGGAGGAGGGATGATTCTTGTAATCAGCAAGTGGAGTGGCAAGGGAAAACAGTGGTTGGGCTGTATGTGCATGCAAGATGCCTGATTCCTCCTGCACAGACTGCAGCTTGGCTGCAGATGCAGTGCTTTTCCTTGGCCATCATGTTAAAGCAGGTCAGGCCTGGGTGGGGAGACTGCTGCAGTAGCACAAAAAACAAAATCAGCCCATTTCTGCAAGTGAAAAAACCAGCCCTTGTAATAACTCCACGAGGACATCAGCCATGCAACCATGTGAAACGATCTCCATTGTTGTCCACTGCTTACTGGGATGGCAAAACTGTGTAGTGTTGGAGCACCCCAGGGCCCACCTGGGATGGTTACCTAAGGGAACAAGCAGGTGGGTCATTGAGTCAGGGAATCAGAAACCCCAGGGATGTTTGGACTTGCATAGGGATAGCTGCCTGTGGAATAAAATCATTCTCTGCAAGTCCTGTTGCTAGTTGAGTGCAAGGTAATGGGCAGCAAGCTTTGGGCAGGCATGGCTGAGAACTCTGTCTAGCAGGGTAAGTGCCTTGAATGCTGAGAGTTTAGTGCCAAAACATCACTTGGTGGAGATTCCTCGTGTTCCATTAGGACAGAGGCCAGCATGTAATTGCTCTGGAATACACTGCTGTGGGGAGGTGGCACTAGGCTGGTTTGTAGCTTCTTGCAGATGTTACTGAATAAGTAGCAAAACATTCCAGGGGTGAAAAGAAAAATAGGCTCTTTAAAGGTGGAGTGTCACAGATTTGGAACTTTTAGCCAAGCTCAGTATCAGTGACTGATGGGTGAGAGCTCTCTCGGGGTTTCCCAGCTCTGTACCCTGACTCCCCTCTGCTCCATATCTCACCTCCTGGCCCCAGCTCTCTTAGGCAAACCAGGCACCACTGTTCGGAGGAGCTTCTGGAACCGTTTTGCCATGGAGCTGATGTCTTCCAGCAGCCCCCACAGCTGCTCCAGCCTGCAAATGCAAAGTAAACAGGTTGAAGGTCTGGTAACTGCAGCAAAAGGGGGAGAGTGTTAACAGCAGATGTACACTGTAACGCTCCTTTCCAGATTCAAGCAATCCTGTGCTAGTTTCACTTGCTCTCTAAGAGCTTGTCTTCAGGTCTGCAATGGAAGAGGCTGCTGCTAAGCTTATCTTGCAAAGGCAGTAGGTGTGCATCACCTTTTCCTGGCTCACAGTACAACAGGGACTCACAGCAACCTGCCCTGCCCCAGAGGCTGCTCTGGGTGTTTCCCATGAAGCTGCTGCCTGAAGGATGCTGCCGCCTGCTGCACCCCCCAGTGCTGCCTGTAGGATGCCAACCTGCCCATTGCCAACCTCACACTGCATCCCTTCATGCTCTCACAGAAAGCACAAGTGGATTATGCATCGCTCTCAGCTTTGGTGCCTTTATCAAGATGTCCTTACCCCTTCCAGACGAACGCCGGCAGCTTGTATGGCTGCAGGAGGACCTTTGACAGCGGATCCTGCAGTTTAAACACCTGCTGCTTCTTCCACCGAGCCAGGTCTGCTCCCGAGAGGACAACACAAGAGTAAATAGAGACCCGTCATTAGAAATAACCCAATAAATGCAACACTTCTTCCTGTCCAGCTGCTCCTGCTGTAGCCCTCGGTAGCTTCAGCCACCCTAAAACCCACAGTGAGTGCCCCAAGTCCTCTACCTGGGAGGAAGCGCGGTGCCAGGTACTGTGGGACACGCTTGCCCAGACTGTTCAGCATCCTGTTGGGCTGTGGGAAGTCGTTCTTCCCACACATGCTGGCAAAGCGGAAATTGCCGTCGAAGTAGTTCACACCGAAGGCATCTGTGAGATAACAGCAAGGTTGGCCACACGTTGGGTCGTGTTTTTAGGCTGCTCTTTGGGTCTTGGGGTAACACTTACTGTTCCTGCACAGGAAAAGGGCAGTGTCCTGGTACCCTTGGGAAAAAATGTCGTTCAGGACCTGCAAAATGAAACACCAGAGGTCACCGCAGAGCTCTCCATGCAAGGGAGAGGCAGATCTGCCCCAGGCTGTTTGGAGGTGTAGGTTGGGATGGACGGCCTGGGAGCACCGTCAACATCTGATGGTTTCCAGCTACAGAAGCACTGATCCCTTGTGGGTATTCAGGGCAGGGTGAGTTCTGTTCCAGATCGGCCACCCATCAGCACTGCCCACCAAAAAATCAGAGTGGGGGCAGCCCCAGAGTCTGAGCCTCCCCTTAGAACCTGGTGGATTAATGCTGGAGGTCAATATGAGCCCTAACACTGGGGAAGGCAGATCCAGCCCTAGTTTAGAATGGACTAAAATAGAATCATTAAGGCTGGAAAAGGCCTCTAAGATCCCCAAGTCCAACCTCACCCCACCATGCCCACTGAGCATTTCCCTCAGTGCCACGTAGCTTTTGAGCCCTTCCGGAGATGGTGACCCCCTCACCTCCCTGGGCAGCTCATGCCAATATATTATCAAAGCAAAAGGAAAAGGGACTGGCTGGCTTACCATGGTGCTGGGTGGAAACAAAGCATAGCTAATCCTGCACAGGTTTTCCACCGAAATCTGAATGCTGCCATTGAAGATCTGGAAGCAGTAGAAGATGGCAGGGCAGTCCCGTGGGCAGATGTCGAGCTCTCCCGTGAATGGGGACACAGTGATCACAGCTTCCTCCAGGCTGGAGACGGGCTGCAGGCCCGTGAATCCCCCATCAACGTAACGCTGAGAGGGAAGTGCAGACAAAATTGGGTTTATGCATGGGCAGCATCAGCAGGAGGTGAGCAAGAAGGTTGTGACAGCCCCACATGGCCGTGCTTCCCACCCCTCGCCTTTCTCCCAGTCTCAGCTGTGACACACCGTGGTTATTAAAACTGAAATATAATTAGCTCCATTCACAAGGCTTTGTAAAATTGTTCCAAGCAGCGTTGTATGAATTTCAAGTCCTGTGTTTCAGGCTGGGACTTGCTCTGCTCTTGGTGTGAGCTCCATCAGTAGGGTGCCCTCAGCGGATGAGCGTCGACAGAATCGCTCAGTGGGCAAGGAAAACACCACTGGCTGTGTTCTGAAAGGAAGCTGAATGTGCCACCCACCTTGGTGGGATTCAAGGTTGCAAGCACTGCAGCAGATGTGCATGAAATACTGGTGCACAGGAGCCTTGTGCAGCACTGTCTCTAAGCCTTGGGACCTGTGGGCTGCAGGCTGTGCTCTGCACACTGAGTGCAGCCAGAGGGCTGACCTGGCACCTGAGGGCAGGACAAGACCTGCCTGCAAACCAGCACCGATGGATCGTGATGTCCTGCTCAGACTGCATGTAAAATACAAGGTGCTGCTCTCCTCCTTCGCTTAGATGTAGCAAGCAGCCAGACTGCACAGGTTGCCTTCAGTGCAGCGCTTTGCAGAGTGGCAATGCACACGTGGCTGGGGGAGGATCCTCCCACGAACTTTTAGTATTTCAGCTTTGCAAGCCTGCACCTGAGTGAATGAGGACATCGCCTGTGCTGCAGACAGATCCTGCCCAGGTGATGGCTTGGAGACGGCCGTGGGAAGGCTCTGCCATGGGCAAAGCAGCAGAGGGCTCTCCGGGTGGCTGTTCACCCAGCTATAATGGGATGAAGAGGTGCTAAAAGCCTTTATCATCCTCCATTAACCAAAGAAGATGTCTGGACACCTATATCCCTCCATGCTCATGGGGACACAGGAATTAAGCCCAGGAACCTGCTCTCCAAGGGTAGGTTTTATTGGGAGTATCACTCACCACACCTCGGTAGGACGGAGGGATGAACCCGCAGTAGATAGGAAGGAAGCAGCTGCAGAGGAGAGCCTGGGGAAGGAGAAGGCAGAAGTCAGTGTTCCTGTCAAGGCTGTGCTGAGCACAGGCTGCTCTGCAGGGTGCCTGCACCTTCAGGCATGACAGATGTGTGAGCCAGGCTCCATCCCTCCTGCTGCGTGTGGCTGTGTTGAGAAGAAAGGTTTCAAGAAGGACAAAACATCCCGTTTCAACAAAGCTTCTCTGGGCACAGCACAGCACTTCATTTCTGTTGTATGGCTGCCAGCGCTGTCAGAGCTGGACGTCCATATGTCACTGTAAAACACAGCTGCTGCTAAAAGGTGAAACTTGGAGGTTATTTTTTAAAAAAACCAAGACATCCTCACGATGCATTTTCGTTCTGTGGAGGTTTTGCAAAGGCAAAGCCACCCTGCTGGGCACGGAAATATTTCTCACCCATCTCATCAGCTGAGAATGAGCGTTCAGGGCTGTGGGTTCAGCCAGGGCAGCTTCGTGGGCTGAGCTCTGTGATGCTGGGATCCTGCCCCCAATTTGGGGGTTAAGCAGCAATCTGGGGTTTGGTACCAAGGCCGCTTTGCCTGGGCCTTTCCTCCCAGAGAAGTGCTGAAGGGAATGAGGAAAAATTGCTGCCAACAGTATTTGGCCAAGGAGAGACCTATCCAAGAAGCACAGAGGGCTTGTTAGTATTGCCACCACTCTTTGCAAAGGGCCATTGCTGCTCACAGACAGCCAACACACCAACATTGGCTTCTTGAGCCTGGGAACAAACCTGCTCTGCACCTCACAGCATCTCCCTTCCTCCTGGTGGAGCTGATGGTGGTGGGACCACAGCTCCAAGAGACCTTCCTGATCCCCTCCCGTCTTGGGGAGGAAATGGCACAGTTAAGGTTATAGAGTCATAGAATGTTTTGAGTTGGAAGGGACCTTAAAGGCCATCCTGCCCCACTCCCTGCAGTGCACAGGGGCATCCACAGATCCAGCAGTGCTCAGAGCCCCTTCCCCTGACAGAAGGGGGTCAGCAGGGTTGGGACATCACCGCCTCTGTGGGCAACCTGTGCATTGCCTCACTGCCCCTATTGTACAAAACTCCTTCCTTATGTCCAATTTAAATCTCCCCTCTTTTAGTTTGAAGCCATTTCCCTTTGTCCCATACAGCTGAACAGTCTGTCCCCTTCTTTCTTACACCCCTCTTTAGAACATCATCAACGCTTCCGTGCCTCCACTCCAGTGGCTGGGTAGGAGTCTTCCTATGGACACCAAGGGATGATCCTTTACCTGAATGAGCTCCTCGTTCGAGCTGAACTCGGACACCATGACGTTCTGGCCGTCCACCACCCGTGTCAGTGAGATGTGCAGCCGCCCCGATGCCACCTGGTAGGAATCCTCTGGGAGCCTGCGCTGCAGCACGGCCCTGAGGTTGGCCAGCAAGCTGCACTTGGGGGACAGGGGACCCAGCAGGGTTTTCCGGGCTTCCCTTGCATTTGCATAGAACACTTCTTTCAGGTCATCTGACAGGGGTGGGAAAAGAGACAGACATGGTCAACATTGCTGCTGCCCTACGAGTTGTATTTTCAGTCTTGTTAACATGCCCACAGTTCTTGTGGATCTGCACACGGTGCCATTCTAATGGGGAAAATAATCCCTATAACGTCTTCAAAGGTCTGGGGACTTCCCTGGGCTGAGGTCCCCTCTCGTCTGAACACACACTGAGCTCCTGGCAGCATTAATGGGCATTATGGGCGTCTGCACATCCTGGGAGCTGGATTTAAGGAGCAGAACTGCCCGGCCCCAGTGGGGATCATGGGCTTGAAATAACAGGGAACAGAGGATCAGTACAGCCCAGAGTCACGCTGTGTGCAGAAACAGAGAGGATGCATGGGGGAATAGCCATCCTCAGGCTGTTATAGCGTGGCCCTGGGAAGCTTTTCCATCTCCCTCATTCTACAAAGAGCCCTCCTGGTCCCTGAGGGCTCCCAGAATCTCCACAGCAGCTTTTGTAGGGGCAGACAGGCTGTGTCCTGAGGGCAACCGGAGCAGCGTGGGTATTAAGAAGGGTTATCACTGTGTGAGCGGATGTTCGGCCACGTGGAGCGATGATTAAAGCTTGGTGGGTTCATTCAGGGACCTCGGCCAAAAGAGCCACAGGCAGCCCAGACATTGTAGGGCTGGAGATGGGACAAAGCCTGCACGTGAGGTCACTGCAGCATCCCTGCTTTGGGGATAGTGCAGCCATCCCGTGTCCCTTCTCCATCCCCTCCCACAGCCCCAGGGATCAGAGGGGAAAGCACTGAGCACTGATTTTTGGCAAGCTCATCTGGGCAGAAAGGGCAGCACATCACCTGTTGCTTTGTCTGAATATATCTGCCAATGCTCTGAATTATTTTGCTAGAGCTGAATGGCTCCAGCATCCAATGGATGTTCCAAGTGCTGGGCATTCCCTCCTTACTTTCTCCTTCAGTATTTTGACCCTGAAACAATCCTCTATCTGCATCGCTTGGGTCGGTCTTCAAAGCCAAGCCTTGTGCACACTTGTTTGCACGCGGTAGAATGCGGTTGTTCAGGCAGATCAGTGGTTCTGAATTGATTCTACATTATTGCTAAAGGGGTTTATTTCTGCAGCATCCACTCAGCTGCTGCTCACAGCCCCTTAGAGCTGCAGGTTCTGATCCATGGGGATGGAGGCTGTGCACCCTGCACACCTCAGTGTGCTTTGTGCTGCATCTCAGCACTCCCCAGAGCTGGAAGCAGGGGGGAGGAGGTTCTCCTTCTGCAGGATGTGCCAATAGGACAGACAGGTACGTCCAGATTTGCCCACACGATATCGCCTGACCATCTGAGATAAGGCTCAGACAGCAATGACTGCCTTATTCAGGGGACACCACCCAAAATTGCACCAGAAGTGACATCACCTGCACATTTGTGTCTCATCAGGGGTACGAACTGCTCTGGTGACACATCCCACTGCCCCACCAGCACGAAGCCACTGCCGCCCCCCAGCTCGTTGTCTCCCATCTCCTTACCCAGGCTGATGCCGCACACCACGGCGGCGGCGATGAGCGATCCTGCAGACGATCCGTACACTTTGCAGGCGGATTTGAGCAGCTCGGGGGCCAACTCCAGGAGGGACTGAACCACCCCGACCTGATACAGCGCGAGGAACCCACTGCCCGAAAAGGAGAGTGAGAAAGGGGTGCCCGGAGCACGCAGCTCCTCCGCAGCCATCTCCAGGGCAAGTGTCCACCTCGGTGCCTTCCTCACCTGGCGGAGCTCAGGCTCTCATCTCCGAGTGCATCCCTGCTGGTGGTGGAATCCAGAATTTTCTCCTTCTTTTTTATGGCGGTGCTGGAGGTGTGGATGTTCTCCAGCTATTTTAATTGTTGCCCGTGCTAAAAACTGTTCTCCCTTTATCTAAACAGTCTGCGTAATCCTCCAGCACGGGCAGCTCGGCAGCTCAGGGCTGGATGGAGGATTCCCTTTCACATGCAGCGATCCCACAGCTGCACAGCACCTGGTGCAGATGGATCCCACACCGCTGTGCCCCCATCCTCAGTGCAGCCACACAACTCTTCCCCTTTGCTTCACGCTTCCTTCTTCAAGGGTGTTTTTCTAAATAGGATTCACCTTCAATCCTGGCTTAGGCACAGCTCAGCACTGGGTGAGTAAAGGCTTGTATAAGGCACTTAAAGCCAGAGGGCGTTACACAAGGGGTGGATGCGGGGCGTTGCGCAGAGCACCGCTCAGTTTGGAAATAGTGCTGGCAACTGCTCCCTGTTGGAGGCTTTGGATATTCTTTGGGGAAAAGCAACACAAGGGGATGGATCTGCTTTCCTCTCCCCTGGGCTCTGCTCTTTTCAGGGCTCTGCACTCCCTGCATCCCAATGCCCAGCAGTGCTGCTCCCTCTGGGCTGCTCGTTACAGCTCAGGATAGATGGAGCCCGTTCTGAGTGTCCTTTCAGCCTTCATAACCTAACGCTGCTGCTCACACAGAGAATAAATAATGCCATTTTAAATGGGTTGATTAAATATTACTAACTACTGTGCTGCTTCTGTTGTCCGAATACATACAACATGCAGAGTTTATCTTGGATGTTGCAAGCCCTGCAGGAGGGCAGGCAAATGGTGACATGGGGAGATGCACGGTGAGTGCAGGAAGACTCACAGCATGGGAAAGAAGAACTCCTTGTTGAACCAGGACTGGACCAGGAGAGCCAAGGGACACAGGCAGGATGGACAAGAGGACAAGGGACATGAGGACGGGGAACACCCACCCCGGCAGGGCAGAGGCAGCACCCCAAAAGCCACCAGCTCAGACCTGCAGGGACGCAATGAATTACAGGGGGGTCCTCGGTAGATGGGAGAAGGGTGAAGGCAAGCAACATCTGCCCTTGCCTGCTGCCATCCCCATGGACAGAATGCTCCTTGGCCAAGAGCCACGCTCCCGTGAGATGAAACCTTGTCATCATCCTCTTAGTGACAGCGAATTGGGCATTAATTGCCTCCTTAAGTGCTGGGCTGATTTTCTAAGCTGCCCTCCCCCTCCTGGCACCCAGCAGAGCAGGATTAGCTGGGACTGATGAGTCGGGCAGCGGTGTCCCAGGCGTGCAGATGGGAGAAGCCCCTCATGGCAGCGCTCACAGATCAGCGCCCATATGGCCCATGGCCGCGATCCCAGGGATTTTCGGGGGAGGAGATTGCCTGTTGGAAAGCACAGCGGGGACTTCAGGGCAGGATGAAGGTGATAGAGTTGGAAACCTCTCAAAATCCCCGGAGCTAATAGCTTGTCCTGTTTTAATGCCTCCTTTAATACCTTCTGTGACCACGGGCAAGGGAGGTCTTGGGTTTCTAACTGAGGGGTTTAGCCAAGATGCTGAGGTTGGTTGGGTGAAGGGATCTGGGCTGTAGGAGATGCTCCAATCCTCGTCCCCATTGGGGTTGGGTTATTTAGGACCTGAGGATGGTTGTGCACAGGCTTTGCCCCTTGTTCCCCATGGCACCAAGCGCAGGAGGAGGAGGTTTGGTTCAGCTGCCATCAGGAAAAGCACAGGAAAAGAGAATGGGAAATCAAAATCATTTTCCACACTGGCGCTTTGCCTGGTGGGTGCATCCCATGTGCCAAAGCGATGTCCTCTGGGAAGACAGAGAGGAGACAAACCCCAAATCTGTTCCACACAGACCCTGATCGTGCCTGAGGATGCAAAGCACATGGGGTACATGGTTCCCATTGCCCCAGTACCACCCAGCTCCTCTCCCCGCCAGCACCGCCCCGGGTGCTGCATGCCAGGCAGGAGCTGCTCTGCAAACAGGACAGAGCAGTTTCGGTTTCTCCAGCAGTAAATATCACCACGGGCTGGGATCTGCCCAAAGGGAAACCTTTGGCACCACCGGGCAGGAATGGGATTTACCAGCATTGGAAGCGTTTCCTTCATGGCTTTGTGAACGGGGGAATTGAGGGGTGCACATAGGGATGTTCCTTCTGGCAATGGCTCTTTCCCTGGCTTGTTCTAATTGGGATTTTATAGGGGCAGAGATGAGGGTGAGGAGATGCCCATGCAGGACCGTGTCTTGGCACGGCACTGACCCCAACCACAGCCATTCCCTTTACCCCCTGCCCCTCCGCATGCTGATGACCCCAAATGTTGTCCCTTTTGCCCCAGGCTGGGTTTGAGCTCAGCAAGGAGCTGTGGCCACTCCGGCCCCAAGCCAAGCACACTGCTTTAATCCAGGGCCCTGCTTAGGGGTCTGGATAAAGATTAGCTGTGAACATTCCCCCCGATTAGGGTTTAATCCCTTTGACATTTCACATCTTCTTAGACCTCATAGGTGAGACCCTGGCAGCTCCAAATCCCTGAGTCCTGGAGGGAGCTGCAGTGAGTGCAGCTTCGGGGACACTCAGAGCAAGCTTCCCCCAGCTCTAGCTTTCAGATCAAGCTGCTTTCATAAATAAATCTCCTTTTTCTGGAAAGGGAATGGCCATAAATAGACAAGAAGGGCAGGAGCTCGCCATGTATCTGCTGTAAAACCTGCTTTGTGTCACTTTGAGTTGGCTTGAAAGGAGAAGCTCACAACAGCTGTAGCAAAGCAAACTTTATTCCATGTATAACATGCATCCACATTTCCTCTGCCTTCAGACAAGCCTGGATGTCACACAGGGACCCATTTATTTGAGTTTTAAGGGTTTTTCTGAACTGGACCCTTGACTGACAGCAGAAGCTGGAGAAATTATAGCCTGCATTCACAGATATGTAAGAAAAGTTGGTAAATAAATACATGCACACACACACAAATGAACCGTGAGGCTCCACACGTGCATCTGGTGAGAGCCAAAATGGAAATTCAGGGCAGTCTCAGAAATGTGGGCTTTTCAGACCCTTTGCCCCCTGCCAGGTGGGGTTTCATCTCATCGTGCCACCACGGTGACTGCTGTGGGTTTCCTCTGTGGATTTTCAATCCACCAACCCGCAGGAGATCCAGGCCACCTTCAGAGGCTGCGTCCCAGTCATTGATGTCCATCACTGGGGTCACCATCAGTCCGGGCTCTCACAGTTGTCTGTGCTGAACTTCGCTCTGTCCTGCTGACAGGGGAGGAAACAGCCGTGAGGCCCTTCCCAAACCAGACGGTGCTGTGGGTCTCCCCTACTGGTCAAGGAGGAACTTCATTCCTATATCTCAAGATGAAACTTCTCACAGTGCAGCTCGTATCCATCGCCCCTTCTTTTCTCCTTGCCAAGAGCCTTCATCCTCTTTGCAGCCACACTTTAAATGCTGGCATGCTGTGACAACCCCTCTTGAGCTGATGCTGCCATGACCTGAGCTTTCTGCTCTTCAGAGTGAGAAGACTCACATCCTCCAGGTCCCCCTCGCAGGGCAGTCCTCCAGCCTTTGGCTCCTCTCTTACAGCCACACTCCCATTGGAGAGCCCCTGTCCCACAGGTCTCCCGCTCTCCAGCATTGTGTCTCCATGCCCCATCACTCCCAGCATGATCCGACTGCCCACCCTGGCTGTCATCACACCCTGACCCCATCCTCTGCCCAAGCCCTCCTTACCTGGAGGACTTTGCTGTAGGACAAGGGCGCAAACGAGTCTTCCAAGTAGCGGGTGCCGAATCCCATGATCCTGTTCACAGCCTGGTTGCAGATGCCGGCCACTTTGGCAGTGAGGTGCACTGTGAAGGCAAACTGGATCTCCTGGGGGTTGACGTTGGGTCGGCTGGCCGTCATCTCCCGGCGGACGTAAGCATCAGCCAGGTTCTTGAAGGAGCTGTAGGACATGTCTCTGAAAAACGTCCGCAGCCGCACGTCTTCCCTCACCTGTTGGAGAAGCAAAAGAATTGGGTTCATTGAGGGCAAACAACGCGGTGTGTCAGCCTCGAGTTGACGCCTTCGCATCTCGTGAGGATTGCAGATGGGAGAGGGCAGGCAGACAGGATCACACCCTGGTGGGGAATTCGAGGGCACCGTTTCCTTGATTTCACTCAGTTGTTGCACTGTGTCAGAGCGAAGGTTCCCCTGGCCCCATAGGCTCTCACCTGCCTGTCCAGCTCATCTCCAGCCTCCTGCAGCAGGGCCACAATTTCTCTGATGGCTTCATCTGCAGAGAGAGCACAGCCCCACGTCACCTCCAGCCCCACGTCACCTCCAGCCCCATGTCACCTCCAGCCCCACATCACCTCCAGCCCCATCCCCAAGCCCCATCCCCAGGTGCTCTCTGGGCAGCACAGCTGCTTTGCCCTCCTAAGGATCCCCCAAGCAGCACACATCACCCTCCATTCCCATAAAAGCCATTCCAGCTTGTAGCCAAGTGCTTTGCCTGGAAGAACTGCCCTCTGCCTTTGGGTTTGTCCCTCCCCAAACCAAGCCCTGATGCCATAAATCCCCCCAATGGTTCCCTATGGCTCTTTATGTTGCATCCTTGGGACGCAGAGACGAGTTCCACACAGGCTCTGCACGGGGACAAATCCCACTCCACAGTGTTTTCAGTACCAAAGTGCAGCACTCACCGACCCCATCGGTGCAGGTCGGCCCTGGCAGCCGCTCAGCCCTGCGCTCCCCACTGCCCTGCACGATCAGCCCGACCTCCTCCGAGACCCGTGCATAGTAACCCTCCGGCTGCTCGGCCTCTGCAGGGAGAAAAGCACTGGTCAGAACCAGGGATTGATGGAAAGGCCGGCGCAGACCCCGTTGGCACGGTGCCTGCACCCACCCCAGGTTGTGGGATTGCCTCTCCTGTTGGCGTTTAGGAAGGGGTGAGGATGTAACACAGGCGCTGCTGCCGTGGTGGCTCCCACCCTTCCCTGCAGCAAAGCAAAAGCAGCAGGGGATGGCACTTGGGTGGTTCCGGATTCAGTGTCTGGTCTCAAATGCAGGTTGAAACTAAACTAGGGTGAACTGTTTTTGCTGCAGGTGCACATAAAATTCTGTGCGTGGACAATTGCCCTGGAGCAGCGTGCAGTAACTTGCTGCATCACAAGTCACCATAACAATGCATAGTTGTGCTCCTCACCCAGGGGATCCAATCAGTTCAAGCAAAATTGACCCTTTCCTGGGGCAGCGAGTCAAGATTGGAGCTTCCAAAGGAACAAGAGGGTGATTCTTGGGTAGGGTCAGCACTCCCACACCCCAGGTCCTGTTGATGGAGGGCTCTCACCTGTAGGGCTGGATGCAAGGACGTGCCGCAGGGGCAGGCAGCTGGGGCGCTTGGCCCTGGCCCCCGCCTCACCACGCTCCTCCTCCACGTTCTTCTTGAAGGAGAAGACCTTCTTGAGGCTGGGTCTCTTCCTGGAGGCTTTGCCCAGTGTAGGGGATGTGCTGGTGTCGGCTCTGGGTCTCCTGGGCCCTTCTGTTTTGCTGCTGTAAGGAGTCCTGACATCTTTTTCCTTCACTTTTTGCCCAGCGTTTTCCTTCTGCTCCTCAGGACTCCTTTTGAACAGCAGATTTAAGAAGCTCTTGAACCAGGTGCGCTGGGCCTTGCCCTGGGGAGAGCTCTTTGTGCTTTTCCTCTTAGGCTCCAGCTCCTCTTTAAGTTCCTCCCCAGGAGCCGACGCTTTGCTCTCCTCAACCACAGCCTCCTCCAGCCCCAGCTCCTTGGCTGCCTCCTCCTGCTCCTTCTTCAAGCTGTTCTTGGCATGCGAATACTTGCCAAAGTCGCTCTCTGACCTTTGCAGCAGAGCTGCTTTCCTCCCTCGTGCTTTGGCTCCCTCCTGAAGCCTTTCCTTGGCCGCCTGCGTGTTCTCACAGCAGCTCAATGAACGCCTGACGTAGATCTCCAGCACTTTCTTGGCCCCTCTCCTGTCCAGAGAAAGGATGGATCCCGATGGCTGCCATGCTGCGTCCCATCGCTGCTGTTCTGTGGGCACAACCCGCGTTTTGCTGCAGAGGAAAACAACATTTTCAGCCCAGTGTTTGCTTTCCTGAGGACAGAGAGTGGGTGGGATGGCTATGATGGAAACTGCTACTGTTTTGACTGCAAGCTGAGGGTGTTTGAGGTGTCCAAGGGCGTATGCGCCCTTGGTAAATGATCAACCTCTTTTATAGTGTTTGTGGATGTAGGCTGCACGCTTAGGGTTTTATGATGGGGTAAAGACAGTGCTAATGGGAGAAGTGAAACTGTGCAGAGGATGAACTCATCTGGTGCCAAAGGGGCTGCTGGGTTTGCACAGGTGTAACAGGCATATTGCCCTGCTGTGTCTTCCCATCACAACACAGCCCCTAAGCCCAAATCTTCAAGCATCTCCCCTTGAAGCTGCTAAAAAAGCCAACCACAGCAAAAACAAACAAACAAAACCAAACCAGCCACAGCTGTGCACCTTCCAGAGAGACAGACCCAAACCAGTCTGCTTCCACTGCTGAGCAGAGCGCGGGAAGCCAACAGCAAAACCTGTGGGCTGAGCCATGCAGAGCGCGGAGCTGCTTGCAGGGCTGGGCACACAGAACACACATCTACCCCACACAGCTCGGCTGTTTTCCGGATCAAAAAGACAACCCCAAACCCACCCGTGTGAGCACCATTCGTAAATGCAATCACAGCAAAGCGAACCCCATCCTCCGATTGACTCCCACTGGGAGCATCGTTCTTGATTTGCTCCTTTGCTATTTACCTCTCCATTGGGATCGCTGCTCTTCTGGACGCGTGTGGAGGCCAACTCCTCAGCACTGAGCAAGGGGAGCCCTGGCCCCTCCAGCTTTATACCCGCCTGCTTTATACCCTTTGGGGCCGCTGACTCAGCCCTATTTTTAGCTCTCAGGACGGCACTTCCGCATGGGAACCGCTGTGCGTGAGTTTCAGTAGAAAGGAGAATCATTTCCTTGTGATAACCGACAGCAAAACAGAGCAAAGCATCCGTGTCACCTGGTGCACCTTGGAACCGTCCATCCCAGCCCGCCGGCTGGTGGTTTTTGTTTATTTATTTTTATCTCTTGTGGGCCGATGAGCCGTGGAGGCTTTGGAGAGCTGCTTCTGTAGGAAGAAACCGAAGTATCTCAGAGAAATGGGGCCTCGGAGCAGCGGCAGGATCTCCCCACTGCCACCCCAGCAACACTCAGGACATGGGGGCCACATAATGAACATGGCCGGGATGCAACATCCTTGAAACCCCCCCCTGGGGCCCTTCAGGCAGCCTGCTTGCCCACCCTCAAACATGAATTGGGACCTTAATCACAGAACCGTAGAATGGTTTGGGTTGGAAGGGACCAGAGAGATCACCTGGTTCCAGCCCCCCTGCCTCCCTCACACCTCATCCACCTGTGTCCATTGCCTCCTCCTGCCGGCTGCTGCCTGCCATCCCCATTGCTACTTTGCCATCTGATGGCAATATTTTGCACTGCACCTTGCACGGCGCTGGACACGGATGCATTTGCTGGGTGGTGATCTGTGCAATGACTGGCACGGTGATTTTGGAAAGTCCTATGGGGTTTCCATGCGAGCAAGTGCTTTGTTTTCTCCAGCTTTCAGCCTGGATGACGTGCTGCCCAGAACCATCCTGGATAGGAACAGTCTTTTCTTGATAACCGGTACAGCTCACAATTCAATGTGTCCACAGTTATTTCCTTTCAATCTCTTTCTACATTTTCTCTGGGCTGTAATTTCCTACTGCTTGAAGAGAAACAGCCCATTTCCCTCCACCTCTTCTGAACGCTGGTGCGTCAGTCTGCTATCGATTAGGAAATACCCAGTTCTGTTTTCCAGGATCCCCACCTGCTGCTGATAAACAACCCATCCAGCAGGAGCTCTGGGGCACCGAGTGGCACGTGACCACAGTGAGTGATAAGAACTTTCACAATCAACTTAATCTGCTTTTCCCCTTCAACATCCAGCTAACAAACAGCCACATCACTCTGGGAATGGAGCACAGTTTGGCCACCTCTTGTTTGCAGGTCATCCAGGATGAGTCTGTAAACGATCCCTGTTGGTGGCGGAGCTCTCATGGCTGCACGGGGATCAGCACTGATCAGCATTGAGTTAGGGCCTCTTCCAGGCTTTCCCTCTTTGTAGCTGCATTTCTGGATGTAGCCTGAAGATGCCCAAGGCAGTTTATTTAGAGATAACCAAATATAAAGCATATGATCGAGAGTATTGTCCAGTGCCTCTTGAACAACAAGCATAGGGCTTCAGCCACCTCTATGGAGGCCTGCTCCATCCCTAGAGTAAGGGATTGAACCTTCTCTGGTGCACAGGGTTTGATTTTGGGTGGCCTGGTGTGAAGCCAAGGGTTGGATACAATGATCCTTGTGGGTCTGTTCTACAGCTCTATGATATGACTCCATTCTGTGGTTTGCCCCAGTCACTGACCCTGGAGGTGATCCAGAACACGGAGACGTGGCACTGAGGGATGCGGTCAATGTGCACAGTGGGGATGGGTCAGTGCTTGGACTCAATGATCTTAATTGTCTTTTCCAACCTTAATGATTCTGTATTTCTATTTGACTGACCCAAGCAGATGCTGTGTTTTAATTGTAAGGACACCGGCCACAAAGATCCCTCTGAGCCCTGGGCACAAAAATATCTGCAGTTCAGACCTGAACCAAGACGCAGAGGATGGAGGCAGCCCAATATGGGCTGAAAAGAGAGCACAGCCAACTCACAGCACCTGCATGGCTTAATGAAACCTCTGCTCCAAGGTGCTGGTGGGCATGGGCACACGGGGGAAGCATGGGACCCCTCCCCACATGTTACCACATGGAGCACAGCCACAGCAGAAATCCCCAGCACTTCACTCCCTCTTCCCACGTGCACATGTTGAATTCCCCAGTGCAGGTGGCATTTGCTGGGCTGTTTACTGAAAGGGATGGGTTGTGTTCCAGGAAAGCAGAGTGTTTATGGCTGTCTCACCTGCATACACTGTGGGAAGAGCAATGGCCGCATTGCCCTGGGACAGAGAGACACGAGCTCATCCTAGAAGCTGGGAAGGATTTCTCATGGCACAGCCCATCCTTGCAAAAATGCCCTTTGCTTTTTTGCTTTCCGAGATCACTCCATAGCACAGCGCAGCTCAAGGAGGGCTGAGTGCACCTGGCAGCTTCCCAAGCTCAGGAGGAAATCCCCATCCAAGTCCAACGGGATCCTTAGTCATCGTTGGAGGAACAGATGGAAGGCAGCCACACGCACTGCCTGTGTGTGCTGGGGTCACCACCAGCTCCAACGAAGCCAGCTGTGCCAGCCTGGGGAGCCATGGGTTGCTCAGGAGTCACCAGGGCTGCTTCCACAGCAAGATGGGGATGGGAGAGCAGTCAGAATAAAGGCACCCATGAGTGTGTATCTATCCCAGGAGTGGCACACGACCAGGATGGGAGCCCCACTGAGCAGCTTGGCTGGTGCTGAGTGACCTCCAGCTTTTGCTCCTAGCAGAAATGTTGGCATCCTTCCCTGCCAGCACCTCACCAAGGCTGTGAGGCAGCGCTCCTGTACCCCAACAGAGATCACATTCGCTGCTGACCTGTTTCGTGTCACATCATTTAGCAGTATGGTTACACAAAGTGTGATTAAAAGCAGTTAAAACAAGACCCAGTAGAACATCTGTACAGCCTGAAGCTCCAGCCAGGATTCAGACCATCTCTTCAGCACATTCCCACCCCTAATCCCAGCTCCACAGGAGACAGATCACAGTGCACAGCACATCTGCAGGGTGAGTCCTACAGCAGGTCAAGGCAACATCAGTGCACTGGTGACCCTGCACGTGTGTTCATCTCACTGCAACAACCAAGCAGCCTTTCCCAACAGCTTCGAGGCATCACAGCTTTGGCTCAAGGCAACTTTTGGAATCCAGGACCCCCTCTGCTGCCTTCTGTGCAGGGAGCAGGAGGTGCTGGCACTTCCCAGCAGAGCACAAGTCCCCCTGCACAGCACTGCACACACAGCTTTCCGTGGTGTCCTGCACTGAAACCTCCAGCAGCTCTTCCCTGAGCTCCTCATGCTCCTCGTTCTCCAGCTGCTCCAGCCTGCTGGATTTCTCCTGGATGATCTCCTCGGGTGTCTTCAGAAATCTGCAAGTCGTTTTTAGTTGTTCTAAGCACCAGGCTTTGAATGCTGGAGCCCCTGCCCTGAGCTGAGCTCTCGAGCTCTTGCTTTGCCCTCAGGATGCACAGAGCTCTCAGTGTTAAAGCAATAAATGGCACATGTCAGCCCAGCATGGTATTTTAAGCCCAGGGTAGTCCCAGGGAAGCAGCCAGCACTGGAAACAGTGGGCTCACAACTTATTTCCATCTGTTCTGTCCATAGGTGGGCTTCAGATCCACGTCCCCATGCAGTACCCCAAATGCACACAGCCAAAATGCTGCAACTTCAGCACAGCTCTGCCCCATCAGAGATCCAGATGCCAACACCTGGAGCCCAGCACCTTCCCATGCCCCATCCACACTGCTTCTCTGATCTTCAGCTCACCTGAACAGCAGCTTCTGCCCCGGTTCCCTTTTGATGATGTTAAGCTTGTAGTAATGTCTGAGCGCTCGGGACATCTTCTCATAGGTCATGTTCATGCGGTTCTGGAAGGAGAAATGAAATCTGGGGCTCTGAGCCAAAGCAAGCGCCCATCCCTGGCCTGGATCTGCAGCAGGACCATCAGGGTGGCTGCCATGGCACTGCAAGCCTTGGCACAGCTCTGCAGCCCGCATTTGCCTCTGGGCCCACAGGTCCCATGGTTTCTGGGGCTAACACCTCCCTCTTTACCTTGTGGTTCCCCCAGAGATGGGCGAGTCCATGGGGGTTAACGATGCGGAAGAGCTTGGCCTCTTTGTCCTCCCACTTGATGTAGGGCTCGTAGCGGCTGTCAGACAGGAGCTGGTAGATGTAATCCCACAGCAGCCTGCAGTCTGAGCACACAGGAGACATGACAGAGCTCCCACTGTGGCTCCAGTGAAGGTCGGTGAGTGTCAGGGCATTAGCAGTTATTATGTATGCATTAAACATGTTGTGGGAAGCGTAAGTGCAAGAAGAGCCCAGAGCTCACGTTTTATTTCTGCATCTCAAAGCGTCAGTGTGAACTACATACACTTCTTCAAGTGGGGAAACCAGTATTAAATGGGGAGGTTGGTGGCCCTGCATGTGGCAGGGGGGTTGGAGATGCATGATCCTTGAGGTCCCTTCCAACCCTGGCCATTCTGTGATTCTACGATTCCGTGAAACTGAAGCACACACGGATGGAATAAACAGAAGGGGGCAGGAGGGCAGAGGGGATGGAGCACAATCTCATTTCCCCAAGGAACCAGGATGAAAAAAAAATAACATTCACCTGCGATTTTCCCATCCACTGGTGCCAATGGGGCTGTAGGAAAAAAGCGGATGGATTCTGCCCTGCAGCTGCCCTCAGTGCTGGGATGGGAGAGGTTCAGGGGCTGATGGAGGCTGTGGGATGGGGGCAGCTCAGTGTGTTCCAGGCAGGGTGAGGGAGCAGCCAGGGCAGCCTCTGCACCGTCATCCATCCCTGAAAGGGAAAACCTCGTGCTGCACTGAGGTGGATCCCAGGACATCTTCCAGAGCCCTGAAATAAGCTTTGTTTAGGGACTGTGGGATGGGTTCAGCTGCGTGCTGCAGCCAAGGGCAGGCACTGTGCTGCGTGGAAAGGCAGCATGCCCGCCATACAGGCAGCATGCCCACCATACCTTCCCCTGTGCCCTTGGCCTCTCGGAAGGGTGATTTCAGCAAAGGGCTGTACCTCAGAGCTCTTCTTTGAGTCTTAATGTACTGAAGTAATTCATACAACACATCGCCTGTGGGGAAGGAAAGTGAGCTCAGGTGGTTTTGCTGCTTGTATTGCTGCAGTGCTCACAGAGAAAGACTTTCCTCACCATCCCTAAGAACGTGGGGTCTGTAAGAGGTTTTTCCTGGTCTCCAGCACCCACCCATCCCTCCCACAGCAGACCACAGCCTGGGATAGACCTTGTCCTTGTAATGCCTTTCTGCCTCACCAAACCTGAGCCAGGAGCGCGGAACCTGAAGTCGTCCTTGGTGAGGATGCACAGGGCTTTGCCATTCATTTCAAACTTGCTTTCATCCGTTTGCTGAAGGCAATACTCCCTCTCTGCCCACCTGAGCCAGTGGATGACATCGTCCTTACTCCACAACGAGGGCTGGATTCCTGAAAGTGGTGACAGCCCCTGAAACAGCTCAGTCTGCGCCCCCAAACCCAATGTAGAGGTACAGTGGTCTCCATCACCACCCTTCCCCTCTATAGGAACCAAAACCCACCCCACTCACTCAGCCTGCCAGGCAGTGCCAGGCCATGCCCCTCATCGCTGTGTGTGTGTCTGCCCCAGGATGAGAGCAAAGCTGCAGCCACTGGGCTGGAAGAGCCGGACGTCACTTCACCCTGGGGAAGAGAAATTAAATGCATTGATGGAGGGAAATTCCAGCTTGACATGCCCCTGCACTGGACACACCTGCACCAGGGTGAGCTGCCTTCCCCGTGCTGTAACGCGCTGTGTTCTTGCTCTTGATCCTCACCAGTCCCAGGTTGCCCCAGACAGGAGCCTGAAACCCCCACTCTCTTTTTCCCCTTTTCTTCCTCCATCAGCAGGAGCTCCCCTCCAACATCACCCCTGGTCATGAGCCAGCGTGGAGCTCAGGTCCTGCTTGCAGCATCACCCACATCCTGAAATGCCACCAGCAGCAAAGTGGATAATGGTTCCCCTTAAAAATCTGTTAATGTTTGCTTGGCTTCGTTCTCTGGAAAATTAAGAGTTTTGCCTGCAAGTGCTGTTTTCTGAAGCAGTTGACTCCAAGCAGTTCCATACGCCCTTGGGAAAATTTCTGGGGGGAGAGGGGTAACACAGCCCCCTTAATGGGGTGTGTGGGGGGGAGCTGAGCCCTAAAGAGACAGCAGAGCCTGGCTGTGGCCTCAGTGCAAAGGTGGTGGCACTGAAGGTGGTGACCCTAAAGCTGATGGATCCTAAACGTGGAGCGTGGGGGACTTAAGCTGAGCCCCAGGGCAGGGGGAGCTGCAGCAGGCAGCATTCAGCCAAAGGCTGAAGGTCACCAGAGTTGGTGACGTGCTTCATATCCCAACACTACTGACGGATGACAATGAGGAACTATTGCTACTGCTTGGTCTCTTGATGAGAAAGATCAGCAAGAACTGAATCACTCTCAAATTTCATCTCAAAGGGTTTTCCTCACCCGAAGGACAAATGTTAGCATGTTTTCTGCTGGAGTTGATATCGTGGCTTAGCTGTTGTGTCCAGGATTTGGTTTTAGCAAAGCAAGCAGCTGCATGGAATCATAGGAAGAAACCAGAGCAAATCCAGCAGGATAAACTCTATTTAGAGAGGTTTTGCAGCAATGCAAATTGTGTTTTGGATTCATTCTATGCAGTAAGAGACAGGAAGATAAGAGCAAAGGGAATTAGCAGTGCATTTTGCTCCTCACTTCTAAAGGTTTCTAGAGCATAACGACACACTCTTAACTCCGGTAACTTTGGCCCTATTTTATCAGAGTCGATTTGGCGTTGTTTTGTTTCCTCCTTCGCTATTTTCGGTCGTGTATCTGAGATGGCATTTACTCGGTTCGCCTCGGAGCGTCCGGAGCCGCAAACTGGGAGGAGAGCGGTGAAAAGGGGCAGCGCGGAGTCCGGTGCTGAGCACGACCAACCTCACTGCTCCACTCCGAGAGGAGTCCGCTTGAAAAGGGCTCCTCGGGTGCCACAACCGGGGGTGGGCGGCTCTTACCTGCATCCCCGCCGCCCCCCGCCGCTCAGCGCTGCCCCAACGCGGCTCCGGCGCGATCCTTCCGGGAAGCGAAATCGAAACGATCGGAGAGCCGGGAGGGACGGGGGGAGTGCCCAGGGCCGTGTACCCTAACCCCCCTTCCCCACACACACACACATATATACCGGGCCGTGTCCCCGCTGCCCCCGGGGGTTCCTGTTTACTTTTTGACCCCGCCCGCTGCCAGTGCCGAAGTCCCCTCCCGGAACACGGCTACAGGCTCAAAGCTTTTAACTTTTTCTACCCTCTACCGGCTCCGGTCTCCACAGAGCACAGCCGAGATGGGGCAACGCTGCGCAAAGCGGGGCGCAAAGCGGGGCGCAAAGCGGGCGCGCGCCGACCCACGTGCACCACCGACGCGCGCCACCGCCTGAACCCCGCCCCTTTTCCCGCTAGGCCACGCTCCTTTTGCTAAGCCACGCCCTCATTTGTACTAGGCCACGCCCCATTCTTCTCTCTTTGCCTCTTCCTTGCCATTGGCCCACCGCCTCCACGCTCGGGACCAATCAGAGAGCGGAGGAGGCGGGGCGCGGCCTCATTTCCAAATCCCGCCCTCCCGCCGCCTCCAGGAGCGGCGCGGTGGGGATGGCGGTGAGTGCGGCCTGTACGGCCCTGCGCGCGGCGTGCGGGCTGCCCTGCCCTCCTGCCGGCCTGGGGAAGGGGTTGCGGGGTCCTTCGTGGCTTTTCGCGAAGCTTGGGGCTGTTGAAGGCTTTTCTCAGCCTTCGAGGGGCCCGTGCTGCTCCGTTCTGGGCCGTGGGGGTCGGTGCGGGCCTGGTCTGTTACGTTCCCTCGGGCCGCTGAGGGCGGTTTGGGGTCGGGCGGGTCGCGGCGTTCTGTGGGAGCCCCGCGGGGTCTCAGTGTGGGGCTTAGGGCGCCCATCTCGGCGCCTGTGGGGCTCCGTCAGCGCAGGCGGGGGCTGTTATCCCCGAGCCGCGCGTCAGCCCTGCCTCCGTTGCTCGGCACGAGGCCTCGCTGCCCTCGGGTGACGGATCTGCTGTGCCCAATGGCTGCCTGCTCGCAGTACTGCGCTGTGCGCATCCCCAGGTGTGTCTGTAGGGTTAGTGCTGCCGTCCCTTTTCTCCCCTCCTTTCTGGCCCGGCAGTGCTTTGAAAGACCTGCGGTTTGTGCGGGATTTTCCTGTGAAGAGGAGCTGTGGGTGAGAGCTCACCTTGCCGCTGCTGTGGTTTCCCCCTGTCTTTAATCCTGCTCGCTCTGTGCTGCCTTCCTGGTGACCTTAAGCTATTCAGGAAGGGAGGTCAATAATTCTGAGTTAATAATTCAGCATGGGAGATTGAGGACACACGTCTGTAGGATGAATGTCACAGATTACTTTGCCAGGGTGGCTACAAACCCGGATCCTGTTGTAGCAGCAGGTTATGCCCCTAAAGAAGAAAGTTCACCTGCTCTCTCCATGGCCTTATCCTCAGCACAGAGTCGCAGTCCTTCCTGCTGGCATTGCTAGCAGTCACACATCAGTTACAGGAAGGGCAGTTAACGGAAAAACAGGGTTGTCCCTTTTGAGGTGTGTCCTTATTTACCCCATAGCCTGAGTGTCACTTGCACTTATGGGTTGTAAATACTTACACCTTTGGTTCATGGAGGTGTTTATAGTCACGTGGGCAGCCAAATTGTGAGTTACAAGGCTCAAAAGCTGCAGGTCAATGTGTAAGCAAAGCTTCTTGCGTATGTTATCAGTTATTCTGGGCTTTTGCATATCTTTGCTACAGTTTTCTTTAAGAAAACAATGTCAGTTCAGTAAAATAAATGGACTGATGGCTATTACAATTCATAGGTACTTAAATCACTAAAAATTGTCTTTTTCAGAGCAGATTGTGGAGCAGTTGCTTGCAGTGGTGCAGTTGCCTTTATTTTCTGTAATAATGTCCACATTAAAAGGTCTTCAATGATCTGATCCTGTTGCTGAGATGGAGCAATGTCTGCAGACTCATTAGTGAAGCCTGTGCACAAGGCTGTGTCAGACTTATCTCACGTTATCTCAAAGCAATTGAGAGCAGGATGAAGTAAGTTGTGCTTTGATGGAAATAGGTGTGCACTGAGTTAGCTAAATTGGTGTTTATTTCAAACCAGACTTATCTTGCTTGCTGCTCGTAGGTTGTTTTGTTGTTGTGCTGTTGCTTTGGGTTGTGTTGTTTTGGAGGGGATGAATCCTATGATTGGAGCTGAAGGTCGTCTTTCTTTTGGGAGTTCCTCACACAGTTCTGTGGAAAGGAAGAAGGGGGGGGGGGGGAGCCATTATTGGCTTTAATTGAGTGGTCATCTAGGAATCAGAGATGTGTGACAAGTTGTTGGGTATCTGCAGTAGGAAATAACCCCCAGGATTGAGAAACCTCATTATTTCAGCTGATCTGATCACAAATCCCAGCTCACCTCAGTCCTTTTCTGCTCTGCCTTCCCATCCTGACACGTTCAGTCTTGCCTCCTCAGACTCCAAGAGGTTTTGTCATCACCTGCTTTGAGCTTTTGTTAGGGATGTTGTGATGGTTTGGGTTTTTTTGGGCGGGGAAGAACCAGCAATGCCTGCTTTTATTAACTGACAGCCTCTATTTTATGGGACTTCAATGCTGCCACTCCTCCTTGTAGAGAATAATGCAAAGTGAACCTCCTTCAAATGCTTGCTTGGAAGCAGGCTGTGGGGCTGCAGTGTCCCAAGGAGATGTGAGGAGCAGAGTGGTAATGAACTCTTGCTTTCCAGGGCAAATGCTGAATTGGTGCCTGCTGATAACAGCTATTGCAGCTGTCCAAAGAGTCTCCTGATTTTTAGATGAATTGCTTAATAGAAAATAAAATTAGTTAGAATGTAAGTTCATTACAAGCTGGCTTAACCCAAACACACACAAGCAACACAATTAATTCTTTCCTGTGGGGAAACATAGATGAACGAGGAGCTACCACCGTTTCTCACCCACTTCATTCACAAATTGCACAGGAAGAGCTAATGATGATGTTAGAAGCTCTGTGCAGAAGCAGTGTGGTTGTAGTATCTGTGTGGGGGAGCTTGGCTGTACTGCTGATGAAAGCCCTGCTGATTTTGGGTTTCTGATTCCAGCATCATCTCTGAACGCCCCGTGACCATTGGGTAGAGTCTGTGGGCCAGCTTTCACCAAGGTCAGTACAACTTCACACATCTTTGGATTGTCTTGCTGTTCAGATCATTGATTCCCAGTCAGGAGTCTCCTAGTTTGGAAACTCCTGAATTTTTGCCTCTGTCCCATGGCCCGGTTTGATCCTATCTGCGTTCTGATGAGCTGAATTGCTTTGCAGGGCTTCTGTCTTAGCAGTGCCTGTGTAGAGAAGCTGGGACTTGTAGGGGAAGAGTGGTGGTGAGGGCAACCAAATAATGGCACAAAGGAGCATGCAGTTGTGTGTCAGTTCTGCATTTGCAGCTCGTGGACAAATAACACAGGTTAAAATGTATGAATCATAATTCCAGTGGCAAAAACGTGTCTTACAAGAAGTGAATGCAGTTAGCAGCAGGCTCTCATAAGACGGTGCTGTGACCCTGAACTGGGTGCTTGGGTGCAGTAATCCAGTCCATCAGAGCAGAGGGTAACAGGAAGGAAGTACAGCTTGGCAGCCAGAAGAGTAACAGAAGTGAACTTTGTGCTGATGCTGTGCTGTACGTGCAGCAGTGTGCAAGCAAGCCAGTGTCAGGCTGCTCTCATCACTAACACTGCTGGGATTCCACCCCCCTGGTTCAGCCTGCTGGGACAGCAGGTGATCGTGTTTCCTGTGATGTTCATCTGTGTGCCCACACTGTGCTTTAGGATGTCCTGCCAGCTGTCCTGATGGAGCACATGCACCAACTTCAGCAGTTTTCTCAGTTCAGTAACTGATGGCATTCGTGTTTTCTCAGTTATCTGTTTTGCCACTTGAATGACTGCAGTTCTCACTCGGCGTGTCGTCAAAACTGAAGTGAAGGATCCACAAAGGAGGGGAGCAGGGAAAAGGCAGGAGGAGAAAAACCCTTTGCATTTGCTCTGTTGCCACAGCTGCAGTATTTTTGAAGGTATTCCCTGGGATATAAGCTTAGCTGGGTGAGTTTCACAAGTCTCCCCCAGTTTGCTTATGGTGAATTTCATCCACTGGATCAACGTAACTAGAACAAATGAAGGAGGAAAACTGAATAAGGAAGCTTTAGCCTTTGTGTAAGCTGGCTAATTTCTTCTTCCCCTGGATGAGAGGATTAAAAATCATGGCCTTGCATAATCACTGGCTTTGGAAAGGTTACATCTGCCTGGAACGTTATCTGCTGCAGCAGTTGGTGGTTATGAATGAGTTCCCCAATCCATTGACATAAATGTTCTGGCAAACCTCCTTACAGCCTGATGCTTTGGGGTAAGACTGGCCTTCACTGGGTGATGGTGGAACTTCATGATGGCACAAACCTTCCATACCAACATGGATGGGAATAACGGGATAGCATTTGTCAAGGAGGGATCTTTGAGAGGTTTTGAAAACCTGACCTCACTCATTGTGCCTCTGTTCTCCAGATCCCCTAAGGAACACAAGAGAAATGTACAGATGACCTAGATTTCAATAGGCACCGATTTCCTCTTGCAGTTCAATTTCTTACATCTTTAAGAGATTCTGTAAGATGTATGGGCACTGCTTTTTTTTCTTCCATGGGCTGTTTTCTGCAGCATCCAGGTTCTTTCAGAGAAGCCACTTCTATGTGAAAATGGGGTTATTCAGTGATCTTCAAAGCAGGTCGTGCTGGTTTAGTGTTAAAATAAAACACCACAGAAGTTCAGTT